CGAGCAGGCAGTTTCGCTTAATCGAATCTTCGAACTTTCAGCGATGGTGTCGAAACTCGATCAGAGCGTTGGCGAAGTGGTGGCTGCTCTCAGGCGTCGCGGGATGCTGGAGAACAGCATCGTTCTCTTTATGTCGGATAACGGGGCACCAACAATGGGAATTCACAGCAATCGTGGGAGCAATTATCCAATGCGCGGTGTAAGGGAGTAAACGATAACGAGTCCACGACTAGCTGATTAGGCTGACTGGATTAATGATCAATTGGACTTACCGGAATTAACATGCCCTCAGATCAAGGACAGTCCTTGGGAAGGCGCCGTTCGAGGAGTCGCTGCCATTTGGAGTCCACTGATTAAGAAGCCAAGAAGAGTTTCCAATCAGTTGATGTACGTGGCTGACTGGCTGCCAACCTTCTACTCGGCGGCAGGTGACTTTTGCCTTTTGCTTCGATCCGACGAAAAACAGCGGCACTCTGCGAATGATTTCCGATTGATCCAATTTTTCTTTTTTTTTCTTTTCTAAGGACTCGACACCAAGGATCTCGGGAATATCGACGGGGTGGACATGTGGTCAGCTCTCGTAGCGGAGAAGACTAGTCCGCGTTCCGAAATTGTCATAAATATCGACGACATTGAGAATTACGCGGCCATCAGACGCGGTGACTTCAAATACGTGATTGGCACGACGAATAACGGGGAGGAGTGGTACGGGGAGACGGGAAGGCCCGGCCGTGAGGACGTCGAAGGTTCCTTACCAGAGTACGTGCCGGATCTCGTTCTCCGAAGCAGAGCCGGGATCGCGATATCGGGAGTGATCACAGCCAGCCAGCTCGTGGAGCTCAGGAAATTACGGGAAGGAAAGCTGGCAGCCTCCGAAGAGCTCGGTACCAGGAGGCTCACGACGAGGCTCCTTACACCTATGGATATTTTGAGATTAAGATCAGCGGCTGAGCTCAAGTGTAACGTCAAGGAGGAGGAAAAGGTCAGTGAACTGTATGCCGGAATTATTCTGGGGCAAGGAAAGACAATAATAAATTCAGGGAAGCTCAAGGGATTACGTAATTATCTGTTTTCAGGTGAGCTGCAACCCTCTGGATTCTCCCTGTCTCTTCAACGTCAAGGAGGATCCTTGCGAAATGATAAATCTTGCAAAGACGCGACCAGTTATCCTGGCTACCCTGGAAGAGGCTCTCATGAAGTACAGAGTGACAGCCATTCCTGCGAATAACGTGGACACCGACCCGATGGCAAATCCTGTCTACTGGAACGGAACTTGGGTCAACTGGAAAGACGCAAATCCTATGGAATTCATGAGAAGTAATAGGCAGAGCTCAGGACGTATCTCGGGACCGGCCATAGCCGCGATAGCGATCCTCTTGGGCCTGGCCATCGTAGTAGCCATCCTCCTCTTCACTCTCAAGTTCCGAAGATCCAGCCCTGAACCGGCTCGTCATACCGAGCGCGGGACCTTCCACAAGGTGCAGCGCGACAGCCTGAATTTGAGCGAGCCAGTCGCGGCCGATTCGCAGATGTCGGAAATATCGCTGAGTTTGCAGGGCTTCCGAGAACTTGCGTCGCTCAAGGATCTCGCGAGGAACATCGATTGACGAGGGTGTCCGAGGTGCACGAGGTCCGGGCGACTCTTAACCAGCGTCAAAATTCTCTACGTACACCGAAAGACGCTGGAGAAACGCTCGACTCCGTTCCCTCGGCAATTCCACGGCAACTCTACGGCCGAGGGAACGGAGGAACTGACCAAGGTTAAATTTAGACAGGAGTTGACGACGCCTCGTGTCACCTCCGAACCCTGGAGACCATCTCGATGATATACGCAATCTACATGTATACCATCGACGACTGGACACCTCTGCCAAAGGTAGAAACCGCCGAACGCCGTAAGACGTGCTTGTCCACCCACACAAGTCCAACGATCTTCCGTTCGAACCGTCGTTCCACGGTGCACTTCAGTATTTCCATAGTTTGTAAATACGATCACGACGCGACAACGACACACTCTGTTCTAGAGCCAAGCTCTACTACCGGCGCTCTCGCCACTTTATTATTTCCAGCGTGATTTTTATTTCCATTAAAAAGAAATCCTCTCTTTGCAATAAATGCCTGTTACGACATTTTATTCCAGCAGCGACGTTTCCTTGAGCATCAATTTCGTCGTTCCTTGTTTATACTAAATTTTAAGCTGTTGAATCGAACCATTTGTTCCACGGGCAAGTTAGCCGCCATTAGGATGGCCAGGTTTTTTTTGCAACTAAGAATGGAATCGCCGATACCGAAAGAGCCGCAACGGAACCGCACGCGACTAAAGATTCCTTCAAATTGAACATCACAATAACATAACGCTGCTGAGACACTCCCAAACTATCAGTTTGTGCAACGTCTCGTAGCATTTATTTATATACTTCTCTCTCTCTCTCTCTCTCTCTCTCTCTCTCTCTCTCTCTCTCTCTTATCTACTCATATATTAATTATTATATTATCCCATCAACGATTGCTATAAAACATCGAAAACTCGGCAGAGCATCGAATTTCTCAAGGCGTTCTTGTAGAATAATTTTGTCTGCTATCATACATACCCAAGATTAATCGCGCCTCTCTTTGTAGCTCTTCCTCGATTCTCTTACTCATTATAATATACATATTATAAACTAGGATCGACGAGGATCCGTGACAAAAATATCCTGAATCTCCGGAGCCTTGATGGCCCATCTACAAAATCGATAAAATCGTGGTTTTCGGCATCTATTGGCAGGCCAACCGCTATTCTCCAGGCATCTTCTCAAGCTCTGCCGCACAGAGGAAGGCTCGAGGCAGTCTGCTGCGTACCGCATTAGGAATGTACCCGTGGCAGAGGAGACGATCGATCGATACTCGTCACTGCGTTACATGTGCACTACCTTTGGCGTACTTTAACGTCACAAGAGAAAAGAAAAGTTTCAGTTAGATGGCGCAACAACAAAAAATTCCAATCACCTCAGATCCCAGATCGGAATACGATTCTCTATTTACCTCTTTCCCCAAAGCCAATTCAGAAGGACGCTCGACTGACTCTGAACGTCTCGCGCTGCAACATAAAAACCAAGTCAAGAGACACTCCAAAGTGTAGATGGAGCACGAGAAGAAGACTCCGTCGATATTTCTACCGTTTCAACGTTTATACGTACAGAGCGTGTAATTGGCATTGACCAGTCTGGCGGCAGCTTCGGGAGGCAGTGTGCTTAGGACGTCTTTGTGCGCGAGCAGGGACATTTGCTGCGTGTGTCTCAATTCTCGTTCATCTCGCAATCTTACGTCTCTTGTCAGTCCGACGTTATGCAGCTGGGAGAGCCTAAACGGAGGAGGACTAGCATGTACTGGATGCTATACGGAGACCTAAGCTACGGGACGGTACTAGGATCGCTCCAGGACAGGACGTACTTGGATGCGAGGGCTCTCTCCGCTGGTGCCCTGGGATAATGATTGTCAATGCGATAGGGAGCTATGGGCATCCTGGGAGATTCTTGGCGTTCTACTAGAATCATTGGGGATTGAGATTCGAAGGATTCTGAGAGGACGTAACGGCAGGACAAAGCTGATTCTACAATGAAATTCTGATATTTATACTTCTGAGCAAGAGCTTCCTTGTCTTCTCCGATTGGCGCGTCGATCGCTTCCTTGGCTATCTCCACAGGACCCTCGGACTTGGACGGCGAGGGCTGCTCCACGAGCGGTTCGTTCTCAGAACCCGGTGACTGATCGTCCCGAAGACCGATTCCGATGGATGCTGCTTTCCGCAATTCCTCATTTATGCGAATCGCATTGGACAGGCGCAGCTGCAGAGTGTCGCGTTCCTCCAGCAGGTGCATCAGCTCAACCGTCAATTCCTCGCACCTCACGTCTCTCTGGTGAAGCATGTAAAGCGCCAGGTCCAATTCGGCCGACGCGGATCCCTTCTCCGTGTCTCCGGCAGGTGGCCTCGCTGTCGCAGAGGTGCCCGCGGCAATTTCGGCCTCCACACTGCGGATCTCTCTCTTAAGGGCACGCTGAAGGAGCTCGTACTCCTGAACCTTATCGGTCAATTGCTGCTTCAGCAGATTTATCTCCTCATCCTTCGCAGTCAAAAGTTTCCTCAATTCGACGAGCTGTCTCTCCTCTTCATTGGTAAGCGCATGGAGTTCCTCGATGCGCGCCTCTTTCTCTTGAATCTGAACTCGTAAATTATGGATTTCCGTGTCCTTCGTGACACTCAATTCTGCGAGTCTCCTCTCTTTCTCGGCCAATTCCGACCTGACTTGCGAAAGCTCCTCCTCCTTGCGATGCAACTCCCTATTGAACTCGGCAGTCCCTTCCTCCAGTTGCACGCGAATGTTACGTAAATCCTCGTCCTTCGTCAGCAGTATACCAAGAAACTCCTGTTTCTCCTTCGCCAGACGTTCCTTCATGGCATCGATCTCCCTCTCCACCTCGTTCGATCTACGCCGCAAACTTTCTTCGGCCTCCAACCGAATCTCCTCCTTTTCTGAATTTAGTCTCGCGATCGTCGACTCGTACTCACTCAAAAGTCTCTCCAAGGTCGACAGCTTCGCCACTTCACTCTCCTTCTCCGCCAGACTCTTCTTCAACTTCTCCAATTGCTGATCCTTGCTGTACAACTCGGCGTTCAGCCTCTGGGCAGTCTCCCGTAGTTCAAACTCATCGGATTGAGGCTCCAGACTAGCCTGAAGCGAAAGTTGAGCGCTCTTTTCCGCCAAGATATACTTCAACTCGTTGATTTCCTGCTCCCTCTGGTGCAACTCGTTCTGCAACCTGAGAATCTCTTCCTGTTCGTGAGGATGTCTTCCTTCTCCTGAGATTGCCGCAGCCTCTTCCTGCCGCCTCAGATCCGCGAGTTCTCTTTCCCGCACTCCCACTTCCTGATGGAACTTCCGTGTGGCTGCCTCCAGGGACGCCTCGAGCTCTTCCTTCTGATTGTGCAGCTCATTGACATTGTCCTGCAGTTCCTGAATGATCTTCGGATAAGCGTTCTCGCTGAGGATATATTGCAGGTTTTCGATTTCCGCCTGTTTTGTTTCCAATTGAGACTTTAGCCGATCGACGTTGCTGCGAAGCTCCTCCTTCTCGCTTCCGGGCATTCTGAACACTGGCAACCCATCGACAGTTTGCGCTGTGGCGGAAACCGCAGCTTTCTCCAACCTTTCACGTTCCTCCTGCAGTTCCTCCAGCCTCTGATTAGCATTTCGCAGAAGGGCTTCCTTTTCCACGAGAGACTCTCTCCCGACCTCGATTTCAGCTTCCTTCTCTCGTAAGCTCTGATTCAACACCGAAATTCTCATTCTCTCGTTTTCCAGATCAGTTTGCAAACTCTGGACCACCCGTTCGTTCTCTCCGAGGGAATCTCTGAGGTTGACTAGCACTTCGCGATTTGCCAAGCACTCTGCGGTACACTCAGGCTCCGCAATGGATGCTTCGGCCTGAGTGACACAACTTCGCAATCGATGCGTCTCCGCTATGGAACTTTGCAGCTTCACCTCTTTATTGGCAATTGCCTCATCTTTCTCAATCAGAAGAGCCTCGAGCCTCTGAATTTCACTGTGCTGCTCGTTCACACTCCTCCTGTGTCCCTCCAATTCGGCCGTTGCACATTCCAGAGAGGATTCCATTTCATTCAACTGGTCCCGAAGTCTTCGCATCATGTCGTCTTTACTCTCGAGCTCGAGCGCATGGTGCTGAAGTAGTCCCTGAGTAGCCTCACCGACAATCGCGCTGACCCTCTCCACGCCCTCCTGTTCGGCGAACGCTCGCTTCAGAGTCTCGATCTCTTCCTGCTTGTCCTTCAAATCTTTTGACAACTTTCTCTCTCTTTCCTCCAGTTTCTCCTCGGCTTGCGTTCTCTCGACGTACAACTGCTGCAGCTCCTGCTTAAGATCCGCGACCTCCTGGACCCTCGCGTTCAAAAGTTCGCTCATTTCGGCCGTTGACGACGTCGCGGAGGCAAATTTCTCCTCTACAGACTTCAAGCTCTCGACTTTGTTCGTCAATGCGGCTTTCTCCTCTAGGGCCGTGCGCAATTGCATCCTCAGGTCGGCTACTTCGGTTCCGGAGATTCGCGTTCTGTCCTGCAGAACCGCCTCGAATTCTTCGGTCTTCGCGTTCAGCTCCGACTTCAGAATCTCACAATTCTCTCGCATCGCTGTAATTTGATCATTGGCGTCCATAAGGCTCTGCTCGTACTGCTTTCTCAAAAGGTCATATTCCTCCTTCAGCTTGTCCAGCTTGCTCTGAAGCTCGTTATTTCGCTCTGCCATATCCTCGACACCACCGGCGGATACGTTCGATTCGAAAGTCAGTCTTTGTTGTCTGTGCTCTTCCAGCACCTTCTGAAGCTGTTCGTTCTCAGTGGCCAATGCCTCCATTTCACTCCTGAGGTCATCCAACTCCTCTTTGTACTTTTGTACAGTTTCCGATCCAACTGCCTCACTCTCGTCTCCCCTTTCCTCGCGCAGTTGTTCCGACGTCCGCGACGTCGGCGCGCCCGCCGGACTGCTGCCTTGAGCAGCAGCCTGCAGCTGCCATTCGAGGGACTGCACCTTATTCGCCAACTCCTTGTTGCGAATCTGGCAAACCTCCACATCTAAATCCTGCCTTTCTTTCATCTCTACGAGCCTCTCGTTGGCGGCCGTGAGGACGTCCAAGCGTTTCTCGAGAGCCGCCTTCTCGGCGATCATCTTCTTCAACTCGTTCTTAACTTCGGCCAGAGTCTTCTCCAAATTGGCGATCTGTAATTTGAGCTCCTCCTCAATCGCGGAGTCCAGGTCGCAGAACCCGACGACGCTCCTCTGGCTCTTCAGCTGCTGATGCAAGTTGCCATTTTGAACTTTATATTCCTTGAGCTTCCTCACCAGCTTCCCATTCCTCGTCTGCACCAGCGTCTTCTCCTCCTCGAGGTTTTGCTTCTCCGTCTCCAAGTCCCTTATACGATCCTCCAGTTCGGCTATTCTCGTTTCCAACTGCACTTCGAGACTGGGAATTAACGGTGTGACTGCCGCATGATGTTCCTCGGACAGTCTGGCCACCTCGCTGTTCCAGCCCCACCCATCCTCGTCAACCTCGAGTCTTCCAGTCGACTCGACGTCCCAACCGGATCCTACCTCCGACTGATCTACATTCCGCTCCTTCTTCTCCAGCGGCACTACAGAAACCTTGCCTCCAGCCGGTTCCTCTTGCATTGATCCCATTGACGCGTTCAAAGATCGCGTCAGATCGTTCACTTGGAGCTGCAGGAGGTCTCTTTCCTGAAGAATCGTCCCAATGCGTTCTTCCAGTTCCTGGACGCGAGCGGCATCGACGACCATGTCCGGCGCGTCCTGTAAGCAGCGCTGATTCGTCGCTGCACCTCCTTCCAATTCTAATATTCTATCTCTGCAGGCTTCCTGCGAAGCGACGAGGGCGTCACGCTCTCGTTTGACGTTCTCCAACTCGCCGAGAATCTCGGTGAGCCTGTTCTCCACCTTGAGGAGTCCAGTAGCCTCACCGGTGTCGGACTTTGTACTAAGGTTCGTTTCGTTCATCGCATTCACGCGGTCCTCAGCAACGGCAATTATGTGATCGACGATCTTCTCCGCTTCTTGTTTTTCATATTTCAGCTCGTCCAACTCACCGATAAAAGCAGTTCTCTCCCTTTGTAGCGTCTCGATGAGAGCGACTTTCTCCTCCAGGAGTTTTTCCATTTCGTCCCGTGAAGCAGTCAGACTCTCCGATACTTCCACCGCGGCATTCAACTCCATTCTGATCTTCAGAATCTCATCGTCCTTATGATTTATCACCGATTGCAGTTTTGCCGTGCTATCCTGGATAGCTCCCTGGCGCTCGAATTGCAGTTGCAGTTGCGCACCGACATTATTCAGCTCGACGTTCAATGTCTCGATTTGTCTGTTCCTGACAAGGAGAACTTCCTGCGCGCTGCTTAGCTCCTGCTGCAGTCTCTCGTAGTCCTGCTGCAGGTTCCGCAGCTGACGCCCATACTCGGCGTTATTCTCTTCAACCTGAAGACGCTCTTCGGCCAGTTGCCGACTCAGCCTGTCCCTTTCGTCGACCACAAGCGCGTCCTTTTCATCCCTTTCGGAAAGGATATTCCGTAACCTGGAGATCTCAACTAGATGCTCAGCATTCGAGGTCAGTCCTGTGCCAAAGATTTTCGAAGCGTCAAATAACGCCGGTGGTGTTGCACTCTTTTCTGGCGCATCACTTTCCAGAAGAGGGATCGTCACCGGAGTCTCCGCTGAGTTGTCCCTGCTGCTCTTCGTCTCTTCCTTAAGCAGTGCGATCTCCTCTTTCTGACCTTCGAATTTGGATTCGAAATCCGAAGCCTTTCTCTCTGCCTCGCTCAAATCCTTCCTCAAACTCTGAATCTCACCCTTGAGATTAGCACTCGATTCGAGGAATTGATCTTCCTTCACAGAAAACTCCCGATGCGCTCTCTCGAGCTCTTCCTCCAGCCTCTTGCACTTTTCGGACAATTCCGAATACAGAAGGTCAATATTCTGCAACTTGATAACCACCTCACGGCCATCTACCAATTCTCGTTCAGCGGCGTCGATTCGCTCCTGTAGCGCCGAATTCAAAGCCTGTAGACCGTTGATCTTCTCGGTCAGTTCCTGATTCTCTCTGATTGTCAAGTCGAGCTTCTCCTTGATTTCCTCGTTGCTGCTCGCAAGGGCGTTGTGCTGAAATAGCAGCTGGTTGTACGATTCCTCGATGCTGACGTTTCTGTTGCCCGACTGACTGATCATCTCGCTGTAGCGCAGCGCTTCTCGCATTTGCACAAAGTTCCCGATGGACTTCGCGAGCTCGTTGTCCAAATTTTCAATTTCCGCCTCGCGTTCCTGCAGCTTCGCCTCGAGCGCTTGCACCAGCATTTGGCACTGTTCGCAACGCTCACACCGATCGACCCCAGAACTTTTCGGCTCCTCAGCTCGACTTCCTGACCCCTCGACATCCTCCAAAGTGCCCACGGGCTCAGCATTGTCCTTGCGCGACCGCAGTCGCTCCAAGAGCACCCGCCTCTCTTCGGATTCCTTCGCGACATTCTCCAGCCTCTCATTGATCTCCGTTTCCTTCGAGGAGAGAAGACCGTTCTCCGTTTTCAACTTCTGTATAAGACCGAGCTGGTCCACGTACTCTGCCTCCATCACCTGCATTCGCACGCTCAGTTCCCTCGCGTTCTCCTTAGCTTCCTCGAGAGCCAGAAGCTCTCTCTCGCGGTCCGACACGACGCTGCCCTTGTAGGACTCGTATTCACTTGCAATTGCGCGGCTCTGGGCCCTCGCCTCCTCGGCCTCCGCCGAGTGACGCTCCACCTCCCGACGCAGCTTCTCCATCTCTTGGGACATTTCGGTGATCTCGGCCAGCAACGAGGACACCTGCTCCCTGGAGGTACCGATTTCCTTCGTCAGTCTGTCGACGTTTTCCAAAGCAGCGGTCGTTTCGCTCTGAGCTCTCGCGAGGTTCCCCTCGACTTCCGCCATTCGATTATCTTTCTCAATCAGATTCTTCTCTAATTCCTGAATTCTTCGGTTGGTTGCCTCCTTCTCGTCCTTCTCGGTCGACCATTTCTCCTCAAGTTCAGCCACCCTCGCTTCCAGCTCTTGACACTGTGTTGCCTTTTTCTTAAGATTCGCCGCGTAGACCTTCATTTTTTCTCGCAGCGACTGCGACCTCGTTTCGGACTCCTGCAACTCCTTCTCGAGAGCAGCCTTCGCTTCCTCCCCGAAGTCTCTTCGCTTCTCTTCCAATTCGCTTCTGAGGCACTCGTTCTCCTGTGTCCTGCTGCTCAATTCCTCGAGAAGATCCTCCAACCTTCGATTCTGCATCGCAGTGTCTTCGGTGTGCTTGACCTTCAGCTGCTCGAGCTTCTTATATACCCCGTTGAGCTCTTTTAGAATATCGTTGACATAGGCATTGCTGCTCTCCAGCTGCTTCTGCAATTCCAAATTGGCTCCGCTCGCGCCCCGGAGTTGTTCCAGCAGGTCTGCGATTTCCTTATCCTTTTCGGCCAGTCGAGCGTTCGCTTGATCCCTACAGAGTGTAACCTGCTGTTCGATCTCCGTGCGCAACAGACTATTCAACTCAACCTGCTCCTTCAATTTATCCTCCAGACTGCTGGCAAGCTTTTCGGCCTCGTCCACTCGTTCAACCAAATGGTCAAACTCTTCCTGCGACTTCCTCACCCGCACGCATCCCTCTAGGCGATCGACTTCCTCTCGCAAAGATTTAATCATTACACTAGACTGTTGCGACTCAGTTCTATAGGCGTTCAACTGATCCTCCAGAGCGGCGCTTAGCTCCTTATCCTTAATGGCGATCGCTCCCATTAAAGTCTCTATCTCCGCATCCTTCGCAGCGACATGGCGGCTGACTTCCATCTGGAGCCGGGATTCGAATCTCGCCATCGTACCTTCCAGCTCTTCCTTCAATTCAAGAATCGTGACGTCCTTTCCCTCGGATTGCTCGAGCAAGTGCTTGTATTCGTTCTGAAGGCTTCTCAGGCCCTCGTCTATCAATAACTTGCCAGCCTCGAGGACTTCCATCTTGGACTGCATCTCCGTACATTTAAGTTTCCATTCCTCGATGACGGTCAGGCTTTCCTCCAACTCACGTTTCAAGTTTTCGACACTTTTACCAGCTGCCTCTTGCTCGGCAATCAGTCTTTCCTTGATGTTCAACTCCTCCTCCTTCACGGTCAGTTTAAGCTTCATCTCCTCGATGAGATCCTTCTGCTCCGCGATCAGCCTCTTGCATTCCTCGATCTCACCTTCGAGCGAGGCCACAGTTACGATTCGCTTTTCGATTTCGATTTCTTCCGGCGACTCGCCGGCAGCGACGCTTTGACCCTCGGTAGATTCCTCTGTCGACTTTTGTAGCAGCGTACTGATCTCCTCGTGAAGCTCCTGTCTCTCCAGCGCGACACTCTCCTTCTCGCGATTCAGTTTCTCCAATTTCTCAATCAGCTCCAGCCGTTCCCTTGCAAAACTGTCTGTTGTTATCTGATCGATCTTGGATAAAAGTTCATCCTTCTCTCGGGAAACTTTGCCAAGAGTCTCGCTTAGATGCGCATTGATCTCTTCTAGTTTGACAACCTTGATCACCAGCTGATTATTCTCCTCCGTCAAGGTGCCGAGTCTTTCGCGCAAACGGCGCTCCTCCGGATCTTCGTAGGACACGTCGGCCAGTCTTTCCTGTAGCTTCGTCAGCTGAATAACGAGATCGCTGTTCTCGTTCGTGAGGTGTTTTAGTCTCTCCTGCAGTTGCATCGTCGCTCGATCATTGGACGACCAACTCTCCCTCTCCGCGTCGGCCTGATTCTCCTCGAATTGGGCCAATCGCTCCTCCAGCTTCGCCACCTTCGTTATGAGTTCGTTGTTGTCTCGCGTTAGGAGCTCGATTTTGGACAAAGTGTCGCCCTGCGCAGGAACACGCTCGAATGATTCTGTCGAGCCTGAATTAGAGGATCCTCCCTTCTCCTCGAGTTTTTCCAGTTTCATCAGTAGATCACTCTTCTCCCGCGTGAGCAAATCGATCTTCTTTTGTAATTCGATTTTCTCGGACTCATTGATAGTCTCGAAGGACTCGCTCGAGCTGGCATTCGAGCCATTTTTCTCCTCTAGCTTCACAAAATTCTCATAGAGCTCCTGATTCGTTACCTTGAGAACATCGAATTTCTTCAACAGATCCGTCTGTTCCTGCTCAATCGCAACTTCGGACTCTTCGGTTTCATTCTGAGATTTGTGCAGCCACTCCAACTGCTCTTCTAGCTCGACGATCTTCATTTCCGCGGTGACACGTAAGTTCTCAGATTCTGCGTTCTCCGCCTCCAATGTGGATATTTCCTGCTTGGCAGCGTGGAGCTCTGAAACGATTTGGGATAGGAGAGAGAAACAAGAGACGAATATGCGAGTAAAGGCATCAACAACGAAAACGGCTTCAGCACGTACCTTGCATGAGATCCAATTTTTGGTTTTCCAATGTGGCGATGGCTTGAATGTGCGATTCGATTTCAATGGCCTGTGCGGAGACCTTACTATCGAGGTCGGCAACGCGGCTTTGCCAATCTCCTGCCGAGGCTGTGCACACCGTAGAACGTTCGAATATTGTTTGTCAGGTTAATTTTAAAAAGCAACCAAGAAAAGCAACCGGGTATAGAGAAGAGAAGATTCATGAAATTTTCATTGTTACTGTGATATAGGCGAAATCCTACGAGATTATGTTATTCCGCGCAATGAATTTTTTGGCATTGGACTTAACACTAAGATACACTGCTGTTACTCTTAACATCCTTTTGGACGGCCGATAAGCTTACGAAGCTCTTTTTAGTAAATGCATTTCAAAAATCAATTTCAATTAGATTCAGACTAGAGCAGCTGTGCCGTATTAAATTTTTTGACCCCACGAAGGTTCAGCAGGGGAGCTCTTTGTCAGCACGCGCATGCAAGGTAATGTCGTTCGGCTCCGAACCCTTTGAGTATTTTGTAAACACTTGTACGAGAGGGCTTGTAGAATTAAAGATAACATCGATTGGCAGTGCGGCGTCCGGATTAACAAGCATGGCCGAGAGTTTGCTTTCCAAGCGTTCCCATAAAAGTCATTGAAGAAAGATGAGTGGTAAATACGAAGGCAGACCTTTCGAACGTTTCTAAGCAACCTACTTCTACAAATCAGAGCGCAGCAAACTTTGACAAGTAATAAAGTAGGTACCATGTGTTACGTCTAACTATTTAAGTATAATCCAAATAATAAATTAGTGTACTTAGTGTATACGTATGTGCAATCGAATTTGACGGAGAAGGAATCCATCACCAAAATCATTAAGAATTAATGAACCTGTGCCAAGATATCACCCGAGAAGCGAGTGATATCTCACATAAGTGAACCGATAAATGTTTCCCAAACTTTCAAGTCAAGCGCAAACCGCACCGACATTGACGATCTGCCGAGATACAAGGTAAAAGAGAAAACACAATGATAATCGCCAATGGAATCGAAAAACAGTGGTGCGGTTCAGGTTCGAGCATCTTTAACGAACTTACTACCGCTGCCGAGAACAAGGAGGAAGTCTTCGGAACAATACGACGGCAGGACATATGATAAGAATTCGAATGGCAAAAATAAGAGAATGGATAACGACGGCTCGAAAATATTCCGTCCTGGTTCCTACCTTTAAGCTCGTCAAAGTCTACCAGACTCAGCTGAAGGTTACCTTTCTCCTCCTCCAGCAGTGTCACCTGGTTCCCGAGTTTGACCAGCTCCGCGTTCGCGTCCGAAACCTTGAGCATTCAAGAGCGATTATAATGCTGGGAGATATATCTCAAGATACCTTTGGGAAAAAACCTGGCGGACTTACCATCTTAAAGTTCTCCAGCTGTTTCTGGAAACTCTTCACCTTGCTTTTGTGCTGCGCCTTCAATTTTATCATGCTCTTATTTAAATCCTCCAGTTCTCGGGTGAGCCTTTGCACTCTGGCGTCTTCCGTGGTCTCACATCCATCGTCGGGTACTCGCTTCGCCAGGTCGTTCTTCTCACTCTCAAGATCGTGAACCAATCTCTCGAGATTGTTTATCTTATTGGAATAATCCTCGTTTTTCGACGTCAACTCGACTATCTGCTTCTGGAGTTCAGATTTTGATTCCTCCTCGAGTAACTCGTTCGATCTTCTCAACTCTTCTATCAGATTCTCCAGTTCGGCTATCCTATTGTCCTTCTCGATAATGAGACCGTTGCCAGACGACGATTCGTTCGCGATTATCTTCTCCTGCAACTCAACAATGCTTTTCTGCAATTCGTACTTCTGGTCCTGCAACTGGCGATAACTCTGCTCCAGCTTCTCCAGCTTGTACTCCAGATCGGCAACCGCGGGTTCCTTCACTAGGCCGGCACCAGACTCTAACTGAAATATCCTCGCCTCGGCTGCGGTCAGCTTCGCCTCGCGCTCCTCCAACTGTTCGATGAGGTGGTCGTTCTTTGACTTGAGCGTACTTTCTATCAGGACAAAATTCTCCTGCATTGACTTCATGGCGTCCTTCGTATCGGCCAAAGTGTCCATCGCCGATCGTGAGAAGTCGGCGCTTGCCGCTTCCGCCAATTGCTGCTTCTCAAGCCGCTCCTCGAATCTGCGAACGCACAAGTCTTCCCGTAATCACAACCACGCAGAATCAATTGATCTTACCCTTTCACGACGTTCTCCAATTCCTCTATTCTGTCGTTTCTCTCGCTAAGCTGGTCAAGCAAATTGTCGTTTTTATTCTTTAGGGAACTCTCCAGTAGCACAAAGTTCTCCTGCATCGTTCGCATCTCGTCTTTGGTCTCTTCGAGTGTGTCCAACGTCGTTTTTCCTTTTTTTGATAAATCCGCGGACAAAAGCGTGATGGCCTTTGTCCTAGCGTCGATTACGGAATCCTTTTCCTTCAAGTTTTCCTGTAGATCCAAAACGGTGGCCTCCAGTTCCACCACCCTGTTACTCAACTCCGCGATTTTATTGTCCTTGTCTTGGAGATGTCCTAATTGTAATGTCGGCGTGGTAACCTACACCGGAAACAATGGTTTCTTCTTATCAAATCTACTCAATTGAACCAAAGAACAGAAAAAGAGAAGTGCCAAATCCATTGCTAACCTGAGATGCAAGTACTATTGGTCTAACAGGCGTAACCATTCGTTCCCTTTGCGTTTCTACTATGGATAAGTCCCGCTCGTCCAACTGCTGTCTGATGGCCTCAACTTTCTCCTCCACGGCCCGTTTACTTTCGGTCATCTCTTTGCTTCTCTGTTCAAAGATCTTTCGATTTTCCGCAAGTTTCCTTTGTAACAGAGACGACTTGGCCTGTGGCGTTTTGGCCAAACTAATATCATCCATCGATCCTCCAATCTCTGGCAAAGCTAATTCAGGCATAGTTTGCAGAGCTGTATCACTAGACGACGTAGCACCATCCTTACTACGATGGGACAATTTGGCTCGAGATTTAATTTTGGAAAGTTTTCTGGCATATTCCTATAAAAAATGCAAAGGCTGTTTCGATTTGACAAGTAACACTCTTATGGAGCAAAGTAAACAAACAAGGATCACATCAATTTTTAATTCATAATACCACTAATTACAATCTAATACAGGAACGATTCAAAACAAAATTATATTATAATATTGAAAATTAAAATGATTCCTACCTGAACCTCTTCCTCTTTTTTCTTTAGGGTCTGCTTGTTTCTGAGCATGATCTCTTTAAGGGACTCCAGTTGACTCTTATTTTGTTCACATGTATCTTTTGCACTATCGATTGTTTCGGAGGAATCGTCCTCCATTGCCGCTGGAGGTTCCATCGATGCACCCCACATCAAAGACTGGAGAAATAAAAATAAGAACATTAACTGTAACATTTTTTTAAAAGAAATTCTATATTAGAGTGACTTTGCGTGCAGTATTTTGCTAGATCAATGGCAGTGAAAGTTTCCCTATCTCAACTATACACTATGTCACCCAGTGCTCCCATTTCTCTACTACTAATTGGATAGGAATGCGATCAGTTCAAACTAATTCAATTAGGACATGCTTAAGTCCTCAAATTACTTTTTGTTCTCTGACAGTATTTTTATGCATTCCCAGTACTATAGCCATTAACATGCACCGAGGCATAATCTGCAAGCAAAGTAATTTTGATGTAAAATGCATTGCAATAATCTTAATAATTCTCAACGTAGTAATATCAATGTCAAGTGTGTTAAACCTATAAGAATGGTCCCTCTAACTGAAATGTGTGGTGCTGCTAGAAATAGTGAAAAAAGGCGAATAAAAGTACGCGATTGGCTACATGGTATGAAAAATTCTAATGGATGTTCATTCGAAGATAAAGAAACATTGGGAATTGGGTTAGGTGTCTCAGGCATTACTGATACAGCTAAAAAAAAAAATGAAGATATAACCAAAGGCTCGGAGAATATCGTTGCATATTGAATCTGCCTATTAACTGTTTATCTACATAAAGAAATTACATGCATTTATTTACGTTTCTCGATGCGTCAAGATGGAAACACGTCACTCGTTCTAAACATATTTTTCACTGGCGTGTACACTTCTGTGACTCGACACCTCCGATAAAGAAAGCACCATAGACTCCCATTCGAAAAGACAATTAGCTCACTGCAGCGCGACAAAATAATTCCGGAGACCAAACGATAGTATAAAATATAAATCAGAATCACGGTTTTTGCAAAACCATTGCCTCCCCGGAAGCCGTTGGACGAAGGCAGACGAAGGTATGTACTGTAGTCGACTGTAGTACATACATACGAAATTGAAATTACGAAGGCAATGTTCTCACTGTGGCGCCATACCGTGGTTACATTCAACAACTGGAATTATTCAGTCAGAGATGCCAACAATGCCATTCCCAACTGTTCCCAACTGTTCCCAACTAACAGTCGGTAGCGCTCCCTAATCGCGTTTAATGATCACCGCATTCAACGAATATCATGAATTTGACATGATCTGCATGGGCCCTATGAGCCGAGTAACACGATTGGCATTTTCCCAGTTCTCGCTGAAAAATTCTTACCTCACACCGGCTAGACTAGTCCGTCAATCTTTCAAATTAATACAAAATGCATTCTTTAGCAAGGACCTCGCGACAGGCCTAAGTTCTAATTGCTCAACATCCATCATTTATAAGAATATCTTTCATAATACATGCCGAATAATATAAAGATCCTTCTTACTTGAACGAAATCTCTGCTGATACGTGGGAGCTGGGGATTTTCATGTCTCTCTTGGGCAATAAACATAAATATAGGTATATAAACGTACATATATATAGTATAGAGGAAGCCTGGCTTTCAGTCTCGCAGCAACGGCGCATTTGCCAGTGGCGATTGTTCGTGCTTATCGACGTCTCGAGCAAATGTCATCGGTTGACTTTACGAGAGCAATTTTTTAGTTTCGAGAGTAAATCCCGCCAACAATGGAGGTGCAACTGCAATGCAAAGGTAGGGAACATTAAAAGCAATGTACACAAAATTGGAGACACCGAAGTCTTCCTGTGTTGGGACGCGCCTTTAATGTAAACTGCGTCGCGGCTGATCTGCGTTCGACTGCGCGTCCTATTCGTCCTGCCGTCCACCGTCATTTTCGCGTCGGCTCTGCAACTTTCTCAATAGAATTGAACTCGACCATGTGCCATACTTTTCTCCACCGTTTGAGAGAATTTTAACGTCTTGCAAGTTACGATCACACGATCACTGAACGTGCCCTTTCAATCCATTTTATTGCAACGCGCTCTGTCATATTCTCTGTACTTCAGACTCATTTTTTTCATTTCATTCGAAACTGGGCAATAGACAAATTGGCAATGATGTGGAGAAAAACAATGAAAACTTACTGTATGTTCGGGAAATCTGACTCATGCGTTAATCTACTTTTAAGAGGAACTCGAAGATGCTGCGAGATTCATAAACGGTATTCGGTTACAAAAGCAACATAAGTTCAATAAATGTATTTTGATTTGTACGAATAAGATAAACACAAAAGAATGCATCTATCGTCTGTTGTCGCGTAAGCAGTCGCGATAACGTAGAATTAGTAGTGTCAGTGATGTTGTCAACGCGCATTATTCGCTCGGTATCGCGGTAGTCATTGACACTAACGTACGTTGCAATTTCGTAAATCTATAGTCAAGCTAATCATGCTATTCGCGGGCAATCCGCGAGTCAGGAGTCAGATTGCATTAGCCTTCTAGAACCCTGATGAAATCCCGCGAAATCGCTTGAACTTGCATGGAATCGCACAGTATGAATTGTACTGTTCGATTTCAGGGGGAACTAGAGGTACGGTGGG